ACAGAGTCGACTTGTCAAGATAACTCTACTTCCATTTCCATCATCAGGGAATGACGCTTCCAATCCGTTCCATACTTCACTGTCCCATACATCATCCAAAACAATAAGATATTTGTTCCTTAGCAAACGTCTTTTGACTTGATGAGCCAAATCTTCTTCACTCATCTCAAAAAATTTTTCGGGAAGCTTGGAATCAATACAAGTCAAAATTTCAAGCAACAGATTTTTCTTGTGATAAACTTGAGAAACTGTACACCAAGCACGCGCATGAAAATGGTACATGACTGAAGTATCATAGTAAATTTTTTTAGCTAAAGTTGTCTTACCAAGTCCTGGCATACCTACAATGGGAACTATTTGCACTTGGCGTGATCCTCTTGTGAGGCGATTGATTATCGATGTTGCCTCATCCTTGAATCCCACCACCACGTCGTTGATCATTGGCTTACTTCCCTGTGATGGCATGTGATCAATTCTCTTGGTAACTCCCTCAACTTTGAGATCAAGCATTTTGCTATGAAAATTCAAGGCTTGAGCTTTGATGATCTTAATTTCTTCCACAACGGAATCAAAGGACATTGAGGAAGAGTCCAGAATATATCCAACCAGTAAGGAGTCGATAAGAAATTCCGCCCTATATGCTACCTGTACAACACGATCCCAAAGTGATTGAAGCTCCTCATTTTCATTGCGCAACTCCACAATTTTTCCCAGAAAAGAGCGCAAGAAAACAAGTTCTTCCTGGATTGTTTGAATTGGATAGCTCACGAATGCAACTGAACTTGCCTCAGGACTTGACAAATCCATCATGTATTTCAGAAGAAAATCGATAAATCCCAACTCATTGGTCCTAGGAAATTTGAAGGATGATCTTTTTGGGAATTCCTCTGCAACTGTTGCCTGGATAACCTTAAAGTTTTCTAGCAAATCAGAAGATACAAGATGCATTTCCTTGACCAATTCGTCATTCATTGCGTTGAGAGAAAGAGAGAAAATAGCCAGTCCTGCATCATGGACCACAAGTCCAGTAAGGTCTCTCATTTTTTCATCAAATTTCTTTGGCTTCTCCTTGAGAATGTTTCTCAAGGATCTTAGTCCCTCATAAAGCTTTTGCAGTTGATCTCTTAGATGAATCATAAGACAAGTACCAGACTTTAATATGTCCCATAGATTAGATAAGAGCATATCCACGAAGTCCTTCAACATCTGCTCATCTATTTCCCTGCGTGAGTGGCTTGATAAATTAGAAGCAATCAGGGCCTTGCAAGTCTCTACGGGAACAATATTCTGCAGCAGTTTGCAAGAGTCTCCATTCTTGATTTGCATCAGCTGTTCTTTACACTTGATAGACCCGCACATAAAAATATGTCTTGCTACATTAACAGCCACAGCTTCAGTATGAGTCAATAAAAGTTCCAATTGCCCATCTTCAACTTCATGCAGAGTGATAAAATGCAGAAAGTTTTTCAAGAATGTAAGCTTCCCTCTAAAGGCTCCGGTGTGTTCTACTACTTCCAGATCTGGAGCATTTTGCCAATAACTGAAATCCACCAGATTCTCCAGAAGAGAGTCCATGAGTTCCATAAGGTCATCTTTATTGACAAGGGAATCAGTAGACTGCCCTGACGAGCAATCTGAGAAAACAACGTACCAATGGTTTATTTCGTGATTGAAAGATCTGATTTCTTTTCCTAAATGATAGGCAGTACGCACAACGTCGTTTGGAAATCCGTCACCTTCCAAAGTAGCGAGACGAAAGGAGTGAATCTCCTGTGCCCTTCTGGATATGACATCTTCAATCCTAACTAGCAGAGCTGCTAGATTTGCATCAACATGATTACTACACTTTCTTGCGCACAGAAGAAATGTTCTCAGAAATGCTAGGCCCCCTATTGGGGTGTGCAAAAAATGACGCTTCCAAACTTCACAAATGTTCCTCAGGAACCCCAGATCATCTATGGCGGAGCGGATACAAGGAATACTACTGGAGGCCATCTAAGGATGATCGATCGGGGAAGAAATGGGAATTCAATTTAGAGATGAAACAGCTCTGATAATTTTCACACAGAAGATTAAGTGCTCTCCTCTTCTCTTGTACATAAATTGCTAGTATATACTTCTTAATGAGTACTGTATCTATGATTAATCCACCAGGACAGGGGAAAAAGGGAAAAAGGGAAGATGAATTGTTATTTTCTGGAAGATGAAAAAGATTACCCAATTGGCTCGATTGCCCATGCGTTTCTCATTTGGTCCCAGCAGTATTATATTTATACCTTGAGGAAATGAACTAAATCAGCAACCCTTTTCAGCTAGAATTAAAAAGAGCGCTTTCAGATGGTGAAAGGATATGGCGTGGAACATTTTTGAAATATTTGTATTATGATTGTTTGGAAACATAGCCATATACAATTGTACAGATTTTATTTGCATTTTGACAGCGTTATTCTCAACTGCTTAAAGTTTAAGCCCTTGCTTCACTTATCAATTTTCTTTCCCAAGGAAAACGCATTATGTCACTCTTATCTTATTTCAAAGCTGTAAATGCCACCTTTTGAATTATTTGGGATTTTGTGTTGGGTGCTGAGAAAATTGATGAACATTTCTTGTTAGTTAATGTGTTTGGATTGGAGATTATTTGGAAAAAAAATATCCGAAATAATACTGTAATATTTTTTGTGATGTAATATATATGAAATAAAAAAGATGATCAAAAATTGTGTTTATGATACAAGTAAAACAAAATTTAATTTTTTTTTTGGCAAATGTTGACAACCAACATGTAGATTTTAACGAATACTTAGCTTCATCAGCACTAATGTCGTCTAGAATTGAATTAATGTTTAATTCTGCTGATATATACACGAAGAGTTAGTTTCATTGGGTAATATCTAGTTTGAATTCCAATTATTTGGGTACTATTTGAAATTTTCTTTTCAGAATCTAATGTAAATATATTTTTGACAATTATTTTTACATCATATATATCATATCATAAAAAATAATTTTGTTAAATAAAAAAAGAAATTGCAATCCAAAAGAAATGATAACTGTGACAAGGTCTGCAACTTCAGGCGCCACCAATGGCCGGCCAGGCCTGAAGGACAACTAAATTATTTTAAAGATATAGGGATTCAAGATCATCTTTTTTTTTTTTTTTCCGGAAACGATAATGAATTATATTAACTTGTGTAAAAATTTACACCTAATGAGCAAAGGCTCAAGCTGCACTATACAAGTGTCTTCGACACTGAGGATTTAACCATTCCTCATCAAAAAATATGCTTAGCGCATAAAAACTGAGGTTAGCTAAGCTATTCGTCACTTCCCCCCTAGCTAAAACAAATGAGCATTCCACAAACATTGAGCTTAAATCGTAGATGTCCTCAATATGAGAATGAAGTCGAATGTCCGTAGCCCTTTTGGTTTCTATCATCTTCAAAAGCTGTCGCTGTGTGATTGCTACTTGAATTCTCCTCCATTGCTGCTCCCTTGCCTTTATCATTGCCAGCTTGATGGCCACTGCAGTATCCATGAGAATGTTCCCTGTGCTATATTCCTTTACTGCCCATGTAGCTAGCACTTGATCATTTCCCCTCACTGCCACTATGCCTATTCCCATCTGACTTGCTTTTCTCTGAGTGCGCCATTGACTTTGATATGATAACGTTGTGAACTTTTTATATGTTTGAGTCGAATTTTATATGTTGCCCACATGGCATGGTGCATAAAAATTAACAAGGGACACCATTGACTGAAAAATTATGGAAAAATAAGACAAATGATCCTTTCACACACAAAAAAAAAAAAAAACTTTCACTTTCTCATACAATTTTTTTTTTTTAAAAAAAAACAAGTCACAACATTTTTTTAATAATTTCACACATATACTTGTACTTGTACTCTCTCTCTCTCTCCTCCTACATGCGCACATTCTCTCTCTCTCCCCCTCTTAGACACATACTTCACAGACTCTCCACTCTTTCTCTTACACATATTTTCTACTATAACACGCACTTTTAAGCATAATCTATTCATCAAACATGCAAAATATATATATTTTTCTTTTATTGCACACACACACATTTTCGTATAAATCACAAAAGCATCCTTATTCTCTTTATTAGTATCAAAAAGTAATATTGAAAAAACTAATACAAAATAACAATGACACGTAATATTATTATTCAATTATAAAATACACATGAAATAAAATACTTAATTAAGCACTCAATTTTTAGCTAGTATTGAATCAGCAAATTGAGACTTCAGCAATTAAGTTACAATCTTTGGAATTCAAACTTTAGTTTTCAGTTTTTTCAAACACCCTAGCCTCTAAGACTGGTGCTCATTGATTGAAGATCACGGAGAAATTTCCCAGTGTCTATCATAGGACGGCAGAGGTTCAAACCTTGCCTCCCACTAAAATATCATATTTAAGTGGCTTGTTTCAAAAAAAAAAATTCAAGCAGGTGTGCTGTGCACCCTTCTGGTCCGGTGATGGTTCAATTCCCCCCGAATTATCCCAGGATCTCCTTAAGTCCGCTCCCTTCCCCTTAGTGTAGGATAAATTAGGTTTATCGTCTAAAAAAAAAGTCTAAGGATGGCTATTTTGTTAACTCACTAGCCCATGCGGCCCTAGTAACTCTCGAAGACTAAAGTTAAGAGACAAGTGCCCCACGAGTTATTGAGTTAGTCTCGAAATTCCATAGTTGCTTGTGCTACACGGGTTATTGAGTTAACAAAATAGCCATTTCGTGACAAGTGGGATCTTGGATTTTGGATCTTATTTTGGCAATAACAAGTATACGAGAGTTCTACAAACTTTCTTTCTTTAACCTCCACCCGTTTAAGTACGTTTACGCTCTTATGCTTCCACATCTTTGACACATTAGGTAAGATTGAATTAGCCACATCTCTTAATTTTAGTCTCCGAGAGTAGCGTGGCATGGGCTACTAAGTTAATGAAATACAGGAAAGTTGCAACAACGGCCTGTGAACTTGATGGGTCTCCAAAATGAACTATTTCCTTGTAACATAATAAACATTTTCTGGACAAAAAATTAATTTAACTATGAATGTCAACTTAGTCTTCCCTTTGATTAGTTTACCACTCGTTCTCCAGAATCTGCTTGCCTCTTGCCTAGCTTGCCATCGGATGTAACATTTAATGAAAGTTCAGGATTTGGATTCCTTTGTAATCTCAATGACAGCATCGCAGCTCCTTGGCCTTCTGGTCCTTTTGTTTCTGCTTCTTCCTACAATAAAACTAGCACAAGTAAGCATGCAATTTCTTTTCTTTGTTTGTTAGATAATATAATAATAATGTCCTCTCCGGCTTATGGCTGTCATCTTGAGACTTCAGCCAGCTATTTGAGAAATGATCATCTTCTTTTCTTGTTTTATTCCCCTTTTCTTTTGATTATTACTATTTATCTCTTGTCAAATTTAACTTTCACTATTGCGGGTGGTATACTTCCAAAAATAGCCACGGCAGCAGCTGCCCAAATAGGTGGGAGTACTTGCTGATGTTCCATTAACAAAAGCAAGTCATTTTCTTTATGGAAATGAAATCAACTGGCATTCAGTTAAGTTCACTAAATAGACTGATACTTTCTTCAACAGACATCATCCTTTTTTTCGCGTCATCCGGAACTGAAAGATGATTCATTTATCCCTTCTAAAGAACAAAAGCAAAAGAGGGATGGTCTGACATTGTGCGATTTATTTAAACATTTTCATTAGAAGAATAATTCCAGGTGAATCACCTGACATGGTTACATTATCTGAAACCACATTCCTTCCTTTACCACATTGTAAAGCAATTGATGTTATATTTCCTGCCCTAGACCAATTTCTTTTTGTCCTCTTCTCCTCTATTGGTTGCATAAAACTGAGTTATTTGCGGTGTGAAGACTCTGGACTAGGCTCAAACTGAAATCTGTCAACTATAAGCTGGAAATAACTAGTTCCGATTGTTCCTTGATTAAAAGTTACTAACCTCGAATTTTGCCTCTTCATACATTGCAGGACTGCGGATTAGCAAGTTGACGCTTGCTTTACGGGCCACCTCAAACATACTCTGATTTTTCACAACAAAAGCCAATACCATATCAGATGACGTATACAAGTGCATGCCTCTTGCAAGAGATAACTCCATCGGATTTTTCTTTTTGTTTAATACAATTTTTTCTGAAAAAGAAACAAAATCGTTCCATGCAAGTTTGATCTGTTTATAGATAGTTGTTGCCAAAGAAGTCAGACACAAAAGGCTCAAGTCAAACAGAAATGATGTAAAATCTTCTTCTATTCATTTATTCTAAATGTAGATATTTAGCTCCAGAAGGGACTCGAATGCAATTTAGATCCTTCTTTAACGTGCATATACAACCCCAACCCCAACGAAAAGGATTTAGCTAAAGAATTGTCAGTGCAATTAGATATATAATTGGTTGAAATGGAAATCAGGAGAAAGCGCACAAACAGAAAGTTTTAAATTGATAGAGTGAAATCACATTTTTGGAGTACAATGTGACTAAAAGTTTTGACATAATACCCCAGAACAGTTCTTTTTTATATTCAATGAATACTCACAAAAAACTGTATCACTGCTCCAATTACAATCAAGTGCAGAAAATACATCATCCATCTAGGAATAGAAATCTAAACATGGCGAAAAATAGCAATTGTAATACAGTTAAGGAAGAAGCATGTATTTAAAGGAAGTTTGGTGCTGGTAGATAAGGATTGAATTTACACTTCTTTTTGCAACTCCACCTCTCTTGCAGCAGCAATTCTGTGGCTGCCTAGCTATCTTCTTAACCTGAGATTGACAAACAATAGTACAGTCGGAAACAAAAAGCAAATGCAACCATGATATGAACGCAAGTACAATTATGTAAAGTTACTTTGCAACTGTACTTCCTTCCAACTTATTGCGGCTCTCAATTATATGAAATTTGGAATTTAAACATTTGTAAATATATATATATATATATGGGATAATTGCAGAAACCTCCCCTAAGGTTTCTGATACTAACACTCACCTTCCTTGTGATTTAGAAAATAGCACTTACTACCCTTGAACTTAAGGTTTGTGTTGCAAATTCAGTCCATGCCAAAAAAGTTACCATTAAAATTTTTTTTTAAGGAGTGAGATGAAAAATTTGTACTAAATTTGCCCTTCATGCTGCTTGCCAAATTATATTAATAGAGGAATGACAAAATATGAAAAACTATTAAGAATTAACAAAATTCAAGGGGTGTAAGTGCAATTGAATGAAGTTTACTACCAATACATGAAGCAACGGTGGATGCTAACGGCTAGTTAAATAATTATATATCCAGGGTCTTGCAGCAAAGTTTATAAAGAATACAGATAACTTTTAAAACTCTCTATTAATAATATGAATAGCTATGTCTAGGGGTAACACAACTGCTTATGTTATCAACACCAATCATATACAAAAAAAAAAAAATTCGCTGAACAATCAGCTAATTAACAGCATACTTAAGCATCACTAAAAGTTACTGAGCATGAGATAAGCCTAATTACAAGTAATTAGAAGTGCATATTAATAAGATAAAGTTGTCTTTAGTAAATAAAAACTACAGTAAGTGCATTAGAAACATATACTAAAACTGCTGCTGCTCTGATATTTTCAGATTATAGGATTATAACTGTATTAATGGAAGTTGCAACTTGAGAAGTAGTAGTAGGCTGAACTAGAGGAAGTTTTGAAATAGAAATGACTTGAACAGATATATTTGTGCAAGTTCTCTTTAGAAGCTCCAGAATTACTTACTGGCCTTCTTCTCTGCAGTTGTATAAAATTAAACTTAAATTGATTGGTTTGAAGAGCATAATATAGAAATATTTACGCCGTTTTCTCCCCTCAATTGGCACCATTCCTTAGTTTTGCTTACAATGGTTAATGATGCTAAAACTCACAGGTAATCTAGTTTAATTAGTCACTCAATTTGTTAACAAAAAATAATTTTTCTTTTCTAAAATCCTTTCATTAAGTTCCTGCAATTAGTCAAGGTATAAAAGTAAAATTATACAATTTATTGTTAGTAATAGGTCCAATTTCCTCCTAGAGAAGGTTAGTGTAATTTTAGAAATCATAAGGGAGGTGAGTGCTAGTGTCAGAAATTTCAGGGGAGGTTTCTGCAATTATCCCGATATATATATATAACTGTAGCTTTATCTAGAAAGCCTCTTCAGAAAAGGGGAAAAACAAGACAATCTTCAAGAGCAGTAAATGGAAAAAAGAAAAGAACATAGAGATCAACTCATTCACAGAATAAATTAATAAAGATATTGAATTCAGGAATGAGCAAGAAGAAAGAAAGAGATAGAAAATAAAATATTTAAATTCACAGAAATAAGAAAAAATTTAAAAAATATTAAAAAGCTATACGTGGATGACTATAAGAAAGGGTGCCATAGAGAACATGCAACATCAGAGCGAGAAAATAATGTACTTAAATCCATTTTTCCATCAGAAAAACTCAAAACAAAAAAAGAAGAACAGTATAAGTAGTAAATTACGTAAATTAATTGAAGAAGAGGTGTTAGCAATTCTGCACCTCAAGAAAGTAAAAAAAAAAAAACCTGAGCTCAATACGGAAAGAATTAATATCAATACCTACACAATAGCAAATTCTATGCTAGTGGAGAAGCAGATCATTTTGGGGAAAAAAGTTCAAAGAAAGGGGATACTTAGTAACATTTGAGGAAGGGGAGAAAACACGTACATGAGAATTGAGAACCAGTCAGGATTTTGATCAAACAAGTGGTCTTCAATAATCAAATAAACTCCGCCATGTGTTAAAATATGGGTCAAGGGCATTTTTGGCACTAGGATAGTCCCACTCTAACGATTCCCACCATTCTTTATTTCCCTTGATTTTACAAAGAGTGCTGGGAAGAGATGGTAGTCCGTTGATGGTAGGAAAAAACAAAGGCAGCCTCTTTGCCTTTGGACAATCAAATATTTTAATCTTCTCAATTGAGTCGCAGATCATGGCTGCCTTGCAAATGTTTTTTAGTTGTGGCAGCCTATTCAGACGCAACCTCCTTAACTTTGGAAGGATGATGACAGTGGTGGTGGCTCCACTTGAAGTCAATTGGATGCCTTCTCCTTCTCCTTGTCCTATTCCATTGCCATCTGCTGCTATCTCCTCTAGTCCTTCACAATCGTCAACGTCTAATTCTTCAACATTTTGAAGGTTCTGCAGCAACTGCACTGTGAATAGCTGCTTCATGTTGTGACATTTAGAAATCCACAATTTTTTAAGGGAAGAAAAGGTGCCAGCCGGAAGCACACATGGTTCTGATTCTCCGTAAAAAAGACCAACCAGATTTGGCAACCTGTGGAGGCGTAGCCATTCGAGACCACGAAGTGGATTAAAAGACGAGACTTCCAACTGATCACATGGAGAAGCAGAGGACAATTGCCAGAGGAACTCTATTCCAACCGAATCAACAATTTCCAATTCAGCTAAGTCGCTTAAGTTTATAAAATTCTTAAAAACATCTGACAAGCACCTAATGCCGGTGCCCTCACAATCCTCGATTATCAGACGCTTCATATCATCTGGTAGGTCGTTCGATCCTCTACCAAGCTTACACTGATGGAAATACAGTTTTTTTTGGTACCCACAGTCATTGTCCTCATAATGCTGATTCTTAGTTAAGATGTCATTGATATAAACATTATAGTATTTTGGCCACCGAGTAATTTTATAGAAGTCCGTATAAGACAAACATCCTATAAAACTTTCTAATTGGTTCAACACCTCTGGATCATTAACTTGTACCCAACCATAGGGTGGCAATAGTAACCGTTGAAGACGGTGAAATTGGGAAAATGTCCCTTTTGGTATTATTATCTTTCGACTAAAAGTCTGACACTGGTTCAAGTTAAGCCTTTCGAGGTTGACCAGTGACTCCCAACCTTGAGGTAAATCCTCAACTTTAGTCCATGATAGATCCAATTCCCTCAGTTGCTTGAGCTTTCCCAGTGGTGGCACAAATCGGAGGTCTCCACAACTCCCCAAAATCAAAGCAGTGAGATTCACCAAGTTTGAAACAGAATTCGGCAACAATGTTATACCTTGGCACCCAAATACCTTTAAAACTTTAAGTCCACACATGTGCTGAAAGAATGAATCTGGGATTTCCTTTATGAAAACCCAAGAAAGATGCAAGGTTGAGAGCTTAGGACAATTTGGTGACCAGGCTAGTGGAATTTCTATTCCTTTGGAATTTTGTGAATAGAAGGAAACTGCACGGAGATCTTGTGTCCACTGTTCTTGTTCCAGTGTTACTTGTGAATCTTCCTGTCCTAAGCTTTTCACCAAGAATCGTGGTACATCATCTCTCCTCCTCTTTGGTTTGGAGTTTCCATGCGTGATCCTTAATGCCATATCTCTGACCAAATCATGCATCTTCACACAGTCACCCCCTTTGAAATCTTTAGTTTCTTCCAGCAAGCAAACTCTCATCAGTTTGTTTAATATCGTTTGACCTTGATCAAATGCTTTTGACCTTGAGCCCCGTTTTGACATCAGCGCTGCCCAAATAAACAGGTCTATTAGTTCCTTTCTTTTTATTTTATAATCTTCCGGATAAAGAGAGCAATACAAGAAGCAATTCCTTTCATATTTATCCAGGCGATTGAAGCTCCATTCCAGAATGGGAAACACATCTCGTTCCATCTCATCATGCCCTACCGAACATGTTTTCAATTGTTCCAATGCATTTCTCCACTCACAGATGTCGCTCACACCTCTCATGCTCCCAGCCACTGTGATAATACCAAGAGGCAAACCAGAACACCTTTTCGCAACGGACTTGGCAACACCTTCCACATCTCCATCAGGCACTGTCTTAGTGTCGAGTGTATGTTTGAACAAATCCCAAGCTTCATTTGTAGCCAAAGTTTTAGCTTCAAATACCCTTTGACAGCTAATCCTGCTGCATAATTCTAGAGACCGAGTAGTCAAGATCACTCTGCATTTGTTTGCACCGAGAGGAATTCCAATCTTTTCAAAAGAAAATTCTTGCCAAACATCATCGAGTATGAGGACAGAATGCTTCACCAATGCCCTGGACAAAATGGCTGCTCTGCTATCCTCATCATCCTCGTATGACAGATCAAGCCTTAGGCGTTTAGCAATGTCATCTTGCAGCCTTTTGATGCTGAATTCTTGAGAGACAGTAATCCAATAAACCTTGAATTGAGTTCTCTCAAGGAGATGATTATGGGTGTGTTTCGCCAATGTAGTCTTACCCACACCGCCCATCCCGTAAATCCCAATGTTTGAGATGCTATCCATGACCAACCACGCCCAGATTGCTTTCAAACCTCTGTCAAACATTTCTCCAAATAATTTTGTTGTCACCCGTGGCTCACCTCTGTTCTCAAAAGCCTCAAGCAAAAGCCCATCAAAATGATTACTTTGCTCCATCAGTTGCTCTACAATTGCATCCATTTTAGCCACTCTATCCCCACTGCTAATTGCATTTTCTAGAAATCCACCCTCCTGTATGCTTTCTTTCAAAGCACCGAATTCACTTTCTACTGTTGCTACCTCCTCAAACCAAATCTCAACCTCCCTTTTCCTTTTCTTAGTACCTGATCTTTCTGCATTTGTCACTTGCAACTCGATGTCAGATTTTCTGCCGCCTAATCTTTGCAACTTCCTTTCAAGCGACCTGAGATTATCATCCAAATTGACATACCTCCTTCCTCTGTCCAATGCCAAATTCCCAAGTGCCTCCATTGTTAGTTTCTCGTGAACTCTCTTGCCTGTCAAGTGACAAGAGAATCTCTAAAAAGTCTAGGTATCAATCAATAACAACATTGTTCAATAAAGGCAGCATAAGAATCGTGATGTTCCTTTGGAAAATTTTGAAACAGGGCATTTCCAAACTTAATAGTTTGACAAATCTGAACCCGGTTAGTACACTAAACAATTAGCTGTTTAATGTTGGATTCTACATAATGGTATCCTCAACTTTTAATCAACGTTTAAATGATGCAAAGGAATTAATACTAGTATTCTTCTGATTTTCTTTTTGCATATATTTTTGAATTTGTTCATCATCAATATTAAGATGAAAAAGACTTTTTATCATATCCAACTATTTATCAAATACAGCTTCTATTATATGATAACTTTCTGGGCTGAATGAAACGTTCATAAAGGGTACATGATGTTGTTAAGCAGAAATATTCCTGTATAAAGTAGTATTTTTTGGGTACAAGTGTTTCTTCTCACTAACACGATTTTTCTCTCTTATTTGATGCAAATGACATCTTAATTACTTACCACTCATTACATCTCATTCCACAAATAGCAAGAGTCCAACTAACAAAATAGTCCAATTAAAGACCTCATAGAATTTAGAATATACCACATGTTAAGATCTAAATTCATTGATCATTGATAATAAAATATAACATCATGGTAAGCTCTGGAACTTATCAAGCTAGTCCAGACATTTATCTTCTCTAAAGAATTGATAACAAAAATTTTGCAACTACAATAATATCCGAAATTCTTGCCAAAAAAATGTCAATCATGTAAAGAGCTTGGAGAGAGCACTTCATGTGTTGAAAGAAAAGGGAAAAAATAGTGATCAAGATTTTTGGGCCTTGGAAATCTAAATATAACATGATGATTTTAGAAACAACCAAAAAAATTTACAAAATCAAGATCGAGTGTGATATCACTGTACCTTGAAATCAAGCCAAGTTGTGTTGAAGAAAATGAGAATAGCAAGACTCTATCAAAAGATAAAATTTGCATTATATTTAGATCTAGCTTTCACTACTGCTTATTATAACACGATGAAATAAGAGAAAACTGCAAAAGTTACAAAATTCAGATGGATATTATCTCATCGTACCTGAAATTGACAAGAAAACTTGAAGAAGCTGAAAACCTTCAGAATCTGCCAATAGTATGTATTATGATCGTTGAGTACTGAGAAAAGGATGGTAAAAGTTGAACTGATAGCAGACCACCAATAACTTTAAGGGTTCATGATAGCGGGTCCTCGTGAAGGAATGTCAAAAGAAAGGCTACCGGAATTGCAATCATGTTAAATACCTCAACCATCAACCAATTTGCTTGAGGTTAGTTGGCCATCATACGAAGTATAAAATGTAACTCTGGCAGCAAGTTAGTTACATGATCCAAAGAACTGTACTGCTCCCTTCGTCCCATTTATTTAATCATGTTTGGGAAATCTAACTTTTTAAGAATAGTGATTTGATTGTGATGTTTGTGCTTCTCTTTTCAATTTTATCCACACAAATTTAAATTTTAAATTTGAATTATAATATGTATATGATAAAAAAGAAAAGACTAAATTGGAAAGAGAGAGTAAAAGGTATTTTGACTTTTCTAACATGACAATTGTTTTGAAACATCTCAAAATGGAAAGTGCGACACTCTCAATGAGACGGAGGCAATATATATTTTTTAATCCAAAGAGTACATTGCAACTCTAATGAATTGCATCTACTTTTAAATTCAAAAAATATGGAGCAGTGCACCCTCCAGAGTAGAAGTTATATCTATTGAGTAGTCTACACTCTATTCAAAGCATATCTATTATATGTTTGCTAAATGCTATTGTCATTTAAATACTGTCGATTCTCATAGTATGTATATGTGTATTTATCCTTTTGTTTATGCAAAATTATTTCTTAAAAACTATTTCCAAGCTATGAGAAATTTTAAGCTATTGTGCTTTAATTATAAGAAAATTACATGACTATTTAATTCACAGGCATACTAATTCAGCACTCATGTTAAGTAATTAAGTGGCAGTATCTTTTAATAGTATACTATATTTTTTTCATTTTCATATAAAACTTTGAAAGGGCTTTTCTTGGGTTTTTTTAGTGAACAATTTTTTCAAAAATTATTAGTTGGAATGAGCCTTCTAACAACATGAGATCAATTAGTCTAAGTGGGGAAGCAAAGATTCTTTGCAGGATGAACTGCTAGTTTAGTCGTTGGTGTGGGCACTTAGAAGGAGCTGTGTGTGGTAGTGCTAAGATGCTGCAGATGATTTGCTTTTCACTTTTCATCATTGCATGGACAGTTAAAAAATTAAAAGCTACCACCGCCGAAAGGGCAAAGACTTGGCCATTGACGACATTGTCGAGAGGAAAAATCCACGAAGTTGCATGGAGGCTTTTCAAATTTTGGAAGTGAAATTATTTATGAAAGGCAACCAGGGTGGGTTTGAAGTGTGGAGCCTTAAAGCTCCCTCCGCCTCTGCCCGGCTACCCGTGCATGTGCTTCCCTGGGTGTCCATTTCTATTTTTATTTTTTATTTGCCTTTATATACGCATGCGTGCGCACACAATGCTGATAATAAATTTACTAATTATTCTTTTGAATTTTTAGTCAATCATTCAATACGAAATAAAGTTTAAAAATTATTTTGATCTTGTGAATTCATTTCTTCATATTTAATTTTAGATAAAATATAAATCAATTATCATTGTTTTTTTAATAAACAACATGCCATATATATATATATATATATATAATGTAATCTAACATAAGAAAAATCCTTTTACCAACTAAATAAACAAGAAAGATTGAATTTTTTTACATATTACATATATATAATCATATAATGCTTTCTATTTATGTTCCACAAATATATGTCATTAAATTATAGGAAGGATAAGAACTGGGGATGAGGTGAGTTTTCCTTCCCCGTTCCCCCATCCCATTTAAAGTGGAGGGAGAAAAAGGCCCCTACCTCTCCCTTCCCCTGTCCTAAGCACTGCTGCCTGGTTGCCATTTCCAAAATTATTAGGTGAAATTAGAATGAAATATCTGCGGGTGTTTTAGCCAATAATTGTATCCGTAGTCTTTTCCCCTTGCTAAAACACTCGCAGAGTCATTAGAAGCAACCACAAACAAAAAGGGCAAGAAGAAGAGAAATCTTCATGGAAATTAATTCCTACTTCACAGCCATTGCCACATTTTTCAAAGTTTTACTTCAAAATTGATGAGATATCTATTAATTTTATCATCAACAGCGGTTTTCCCTATTCTCCTGATTAACATGCATAGCCTCACTTGTCCTTGTACATGAAAGTTATCATGGTTAATTCGACGAGGGGAGGAGGAAAGTTACCGGTGGATAAAGAGAAAGTCTTTGGAAGATAGCTGGCAAAAATACTTTTTGACCTTTTTCAATTTAAAGGAATGGTTGCCACTGGCCCAGTGGTCATCCCAAGCCTTCTTAGACTTGGCAGTGCGAGAGGTCAAGGGTTCGAATCTTGTCTCCCACAAAATTTGTCACAATATGTGACGGTCTTCATTGACTAATTTCAATAGAACGAGTTCCCTTCCCCTCCCCCCTAGAATAGGTTAGTTTAGATTATAGGAATTCTATCGTATCGACAAAAAAAAAAAAAAAAATTTAAAGGAATGGTGGAATGGTTGAATAGGTTAGTTTAGGTTATAGGAATTCTATCGTATCGACAAAAAAAAAAAAAAAAACAATTTAAAGGAATGGTGGAATGGTTGATGTATCAATTTTGAATACTAGTTTCTGTTCCTTTTTTTTCCGGGTAAAATACCAAAAAACTCCTTGTGATTTACTAAATATTTAATTTAACTCCCTTTGATTTGGAAACCTACACTATAACTTCCAGTGGTTTCAACTAATTTGAAAATTGGACGGAAAGCATCCAATCTAACGATTATACTTGAAATATCAATGTTGCCCCTATATAAATAAACTCCCTATGATTTGTCGAATATTCAATTTAACTCCCTCTAGTTTGAAAAATTACACTATAACTCCCTACGATTTCGATTAAATTGAAAATTGAATGGAAAGCATCTTACATATAGTAGGGGTAATATTGACATTTCACACACAACCATTAGATTGGATGCTTTCCCCTACGATATGTAAGATGCTTTCCCTGTGAAATGTCAATATTGCCCCTACTATATGTAAGATGCTTTCCATTCAATTTTCAATTTAGTCGAAATTACAGGAAGTTATAGTGTAGGTTTCCAAACTAGAAGGGGTTAAATTGAACATTTATCAAACCACAGGGAGTTTTTTTGTATTTTATCCTTTTTTTTTCTCTTTTTGGTAATAAAAGGAGAGTCCCTATTCCTTGATCTGCCCTTTTGCCAGTTTACATTTTTTAGAGCCTAATGGAAATGAAGGCTTATTTGATTCCAAATTCACAATTAAAGTAGAAACAAGAATCAATTTATTTCTTGTCAGCTATAGGATGTCCATTCATCTATAACATGCCAATAATTTTCATGAGATTGGACTGCAATAATTTGGGTACTGTAATATTTTGATTGTTATCATTTTTGAGTGTCACAATTCACAAGACATATTAGCTTTGTACTGTACACTTATTATCTGAATAACAAATCTCTGTTGCAAAAGCAGAGTGTCCTTTACTACTTGCCAAGCACTAGATTTTCCTACCTGATTGATTTTAATTTGCAAGCAACAGCTATAACCTCTGTCGTGTGAACATATCCATTATGGCAATCTCATTTTCATACAACTAGTTTCTTAAGTTTCAACAGAAGTTAGTGGAACAAGAAGCAAACATATATTTCCTCAGGTTTATTTTGTCTGAAACTTATACTTACCTCTATTCAACTATACTAATCTTTGCCTTGTCCAATAAAATGCTCCATTTTTTGAGGTGACAGCAAATGCTATTAGGAAGTTGGATAAATAAGCTTGTTCTATTTATTAATTCTACTGAACTCAAGAAGATAATTGAAACAAATTCTGATCCTTACTAATATGCATTGATAGGGTATAATTTGTTAGTATTTTTATTATTAATTTTCCCTTCTATCCCTGACAAATATTGTGTTAATTGCTGATATTTACTCATATTTGGTATTTGGAATCAATTTTAGGAATGAAGCAGAAAACTACCAAAAAGGAGGGACTTTGTGAAAAATATGGAGACTTCTAAGGGCTTCAATCCTTGGGCCCTTGAATTGGTGGGGGACCACAAGCTAGTGAAAGGCATTTGATCATTTGGGCTTCAAAGAAAGCAACGTAGAGAGACTTGGAACAAGAAGTACTTGGGAGGCTTTCATGTGTGGAGACCACCTAGATAGCTTTTAGTCATCTTTCTTTTGTTGTTTTAAAAGGGGACAACGTACAGAAGCAAAAGATATCTAGGGCTTTAGTTTTAGTTTTTTAGTTTAGTTCTAGTTTTCTTTCTTTGGACTGGCCTCTGACACACGCCAGGTATTCGACAATATTCCCCAACGGGGAGATTTACTCATGAGGCGTGGTTAAGCTTTTCTAGTCAAGGGGACAACTGACGATTTGGTTCGACAATTACTGTGAGATCGAATATGTTTTAATTATTTTCTTCATTTATTGGTATTTATATGTTCCTTGATTTTAATTGCTATGGCATTGTGTATGATTGATTAGTGCGCAATAATTAATTATTCATATAGGCTATTTTTGCTAAATAGGGGTAATTGAATCCGTAATTGTTCGTTATCTCTACCTCAGTAGCAACTGGCGTAATTGGGTTTATGTCAGGGGAGCATATGATCTAATTTAAAAAACCCTCGTAGCGTGTTTGTTGGTTAGGATTGTACCTTTCTAATTATTAATGCAATCTAGAAATTAAATCCTACGGTCGTACCTAGGGTT